TAATAAAAAAAAAACAGTAAATCAAAAAAGCAGTAAGAAAAATTAAAAAAAGAAAAAAAAGCAGTAAAATAAAAAAAGAAAACAAAAATCTGCAGAGATCAGACATATGATATTGTTATAAAAATGGAATAGGAATTGAAAACGATATATATAATATATATAAGACATTTAAATATTATCAAAAATCTGCAGATATAGGATATTTAGTTGGATATATAATATTGGGGTTGAAAAGACATAAAGAAGGCATTCGAATATTATAAAAAATCTGCAGATATATAACATGCTGATGGAATATTTAATATTGGATGTTGAAATGAAAACAGAATAGGAGTTATAAGGGAGGTATTTGAATATTATCAAAAATTAACAGACATGAAACAATTTAATAGAGCATATAATCTTGGACGTTGTTATGAAAATATGATAGAAGTTGAAAAAGACACAAAGAAGGCATTTGAATATTATTAAAAATTTTTAGATATGATACATGCTGATGGAATATATAATCTTGGACATTGTTATGAAAGCAGAATAGAAGTTAAAAAAGATATAAAGAAGGCGTTTGAATATTATCAAAAATCTTAGATATAGGACATATAGATGGAATATATAATAGTTGGACATTGTTATCAATTCAGAATTGAAGTTGAAAAAGATATAAAGAAGGTATTTGAATATTATCAAAATTTAATAGACTTGGAATTGAATATTATCAAAAATCAACGAACATGAAACAATCTAATGGAGCATATAATCTTGGACATTGTTATGAAAATGGAATAGGAGTTGAAAAAGACAAAATAAAGGCATCAAAATCAATAGATATGGAACAAGCTGATGGAATATATAATCTTGGACATTGTTATGAAAATGGAATAGAAGTTGAAAAAGATATGCTTCTGTTATTTCATAATTTTAAGAGCTTGATCGTAAATCCGTAATTTTCATTAAGCATTATACATATTGGGAAAAAAGTTTTCTGCTATGTATCTGTTAGTCTGCCAAAGACCCCTTAAAATACCAGCTGAATATTAGCAGCGTATTAGCAATATATGGGTAAAATTTTGGAAAGTAGATTGATATTGGTAACATATTGGAATACCTTGATATCTTACTCTTAGCACTCTAAGCCTAAAAGTAAGATATTGGGGTATCCCAATCTTTTGCTGCTATGTTGCTGATATTAATCTACCTCACGAATATGTAGCCAATATACTGCTGATATTCAGCAAGTATTTGGCAGGTTTTTGGCAAACTAACAAGTACATATCAGAAAACTTTTTTTCTAGTATGACCCAATATTCATTGATTTAGCCTGTGCGTGAGCAAAATAATATCAATAGAATTTAAACTATAGATATTAAATTAAACTAAATTAAGCTATATGTAATAAATTAAATTAAACATATTAAATTAACTTAAATATATAATATGTATTAAAATAAAATAAATTAAATAATATATATTAAATTAAATTAAACTATAGATATTAAATCAAATCAAAATAAATATAATAAATTAGGAAAATTATATATATAACACCATGTTATATAACACCCAATTATGTGATATATGAAAAATAAACAATCAATCATAATATTACACAAAGTTATATACAAAAGTTGTAAGTTACATGACGCACAGTATAAATTAGCCAATCAATGACCATTAATTTTATTATATGAATAAGTTATACAAAGTTACACAAATTAGCAAAAACTATACTAGTGTTACAAAAATCAATTAGTCGATGATTAATCGATTAACTAATTAATCGTTTAATCAATTGGATTAATCAGTTAATCGATTAATCGTCAATTAATCAATTTTTGATTTAGAACACTAATCTAAGCCACTCTTGAAATATAATAAAAAATTCTAAAAAGCAAATTCGAGTTTTATTTTAATGATTTTTCCATTTGTAGTAATAAACTAAACTCGCATTATACATATACATACATACATACAGCAAAGATAATGTTAATATCGATATTGCTATCATATAGTTGAATATGATATACTTAAAACAGGTTATTAACACCTTTATTAAATCTCAATTAGCTTTTTCATAATGCAGTATAAGATATATACTTGTTAAAAAAAAGTTAATTTAAAACTAGTTATCGCCTTGCTATAAATAATAAAAAACTTCATTAATACCAATATAAAAGATAGAGTTTTTTTAAAAAAAAAGAAATCATTGAACCTCTAAATACAAAAAAGACTACTATATCGTTTGATTTACTCAAACTCTTTATATGAATGCATATAACCTATAATATAATATGAAAAAGAGTTTATTAGCGTTTATTCTAATCTTAATATAAAAGTAAAGTAATATGTATAAGCTATTTAAAAAACCTTAACGCAAAAGAAAAACTTAAAAAAAAAACCATTATCATTATCCAATAACTTGTCTATACTCTAGCATAAAAAAAAACAAACCAGAAATAAGCATAACCAAGAGAAAACCTAAACTTTTTTTTAGATTTTTTCTTGGCGTCACTGATATAAGTATAGCATGAATATGTGAAATTTACAAAATATGCATGTACGTACAGTACCTACATATGCAGCACTACTACTTTTCTAGATTAGATTTTTTTTGTAGACATGTGCTCTTATAGTGATTAGATTATGACAAAGTCCACATAGTCTCGTACTTGTATCTGGTTTAGCTTTTTTTTTTGGTGTATGATCTTCTTATGCACCTTTAATATGATTCTTTTTTAGAGCTCCTTTTCCAATATGATTTAAGAGATTAGCAACATTATTAATAGAAATTAGTTGATTATCATCAGTTTCTATAGCTAAAACGTTTTCTAAACTATAGTTCTCTCTAAGAATTCTCATTTCTCTTTCTTTAGTTTCTTTTTCATATTGAAGAATCTTTTTTTCAATGTAGTTTTTCAAAAGAGTATCTAATTCATTATCATTTTCGCTATTCTGTAGCGTAATAGCCTTCTTTGCAAGACTTATTAATTTGTTAAATTGAAGCTTCTTGTCTACAGATTTTTGAAAGAAATTTTTCTGAACATCATCGATTCTAAGTAAGTTCATGTTTGTTGCATTACATAATTGATGAGTAATCGGTGCTAATTCGGTATTTCGATTTGATGTTAAAAATGGCTTTTGAGCACATTCAGATTCATTTGTACCAACGAATAGGCAACAGCATTATATAGAACCTTCAAAATCTGATTCAAGTAACATACAAAAAAAATGTCAACATATGAGCCCATGGTTAACCAATAAAAGGCAAGTACATAAATGACGTTCATTTTTATACAATATAATGTAATGAACAGACTTAGCCGAAATTAAACATATAATTCTCCAAACTTCTTTAACAGAGGAATATTTATTTTCTTTAATTAAAGCCAATAAATATGATTGCGAAACATCATATGTGTTTTCAATAAAATCATTATAATAGGTAACATCTTGTAAATTAATAAATCAGAATTCCATAACTGTAAAATAGAGTAGTTAATTAAGATAGCAAATAACAATAAAAATACCTCCTAAAAATAACCCCAATATCATCTATGTTTAATGTTTGAGCCCAGTAGATAGTCAATTGAACTATCTGCTTTTGTTGCTTAGTTGCTAGATTTGGTGTTAAATACTTATTTATTTGTTAAACGACTTGTGGAAAAACAGTCTGTAAAACGAGATTATCATTATAATTAATTTGGTCCTGAGACCACGAATTAAAACGTTGACTAAGACTTTCACGCTCAATGTGTTGGTGTATTGTTTCCATTACTTGCAATAAAGTTGATGAACTATTTATAGCAGTTTTGATGTGATTATTAAGTTCTTCAACTCTCTGAGTTGATTGCATTCCACCAGTAAAAATTTTAAATGTATGAGCACATGCCCACGATTCTTTACTTAAAAATAGCTTTTGTAGATACGAAGATGTAGCCGAATAATTATTTAAAAGATTTGTTAATTTAGCCTCAAATACACTTTCATTTAAACTATTACGCGTCGAATAAAAATCTTTAATAAAATTGGCATACTGCCTGCCAAGCTTACTACAAAGATTTTTTGAAAGATTTTGACTTAAATGATACAAACAAAATAAATGTTTAGTATCTGGAAGATCATAAGCTACAACATATTTCATGGAAAGATTTTTATCTGCCATTAAAATTCTTGAAAAAATTCCAGTTGCTTTTTTTAATTGCCCCATTACCTAACAAAAAGATTCAATGGTTTCATCAGGCATTAAAGCCTGTGCAGTGATTCATGATTTATTATGATTCTCAATTAAAACAAAGAGACACAAAGAAAAATTATAATGGTTTGTTTGTGCCATATTGTCTTGAACTATTATGTTACAAAGCCGAATCTATCTTTACATTGACCCGGGTTTATCCAAAAAATTCTACAGAGATGATTGCTAATAGAATCAACTAAGGATTCAATATACCAATTAGGATTCTTTTCTCTAAATTCATAAAGCTGTTTTAAAAGCTGTGATGCTTCACTTCTTTCCACATTATGTTCTCGTCGTAATTGAGCTACAACATTTGCAAGATCACGTGTTAAGAAAAGCTGGTCGGGATATTTAACAGATAGAAGAGATCGTATTGTCGAAAGGTCACACCGACCGTTTACTGCTAAATGGCGAATTTCTTCGCAACAATCATCAGAGAATCGACGATTTACAGGAGCAAAAATTTTGGTATCTGGTGAAAGTTGATGCTCAACATGGTTATCATTAAAATGAGTGATATGAACTACACCAGTTGCAAATGACAAATTAACTTTCCAATTACAGTTAAGTTTTTTAGAACCTTTATTATGTTGATTTTGTAAGTTATTAGTTTTCTTTGGTTGATATGTTCCACTAAATTTATATTTATAATATAGGTTTATTAAATGTCTATTATTATCAGTTTTATTATGTATCTTAATTGGTACAAATCCTTTTTAACAGCCATATTCAGCAATATAATGCTCTGCAATTGGCCAGTTAGGAAAAGTATCATCAATAGTAAATACAATTGCTTTGTTAATATGAGGTAATAGACCATTAATTCCAACCAAATCTTGTCCTTTATGGATTTCATGCATTTCATCATGCATTTCATCATGCACTTCATCATATGTTCCATTATGCATTTCATCACACATTTCATCATGCACTTCATCATATACTTCATTATATGTTCTATTACGCATTTCATTACATATTTTATCATGCATTATATCACATAATACTTCTTGAGAGGAGTACATTAAATCTTGAAAAGAATTTGCTAATCCTTGATAGGAGTTCACTACATTATAAGGGGAATTCATTACTTCTTGAGGAAGGTCCACTAATTCGTGAACAGATTCTAAAAATTCTTGAGGAGAGAAATCCAAATTTGAAACTTGATGTCTTATAAAATATTCTAAGTTGAAAGTAAATTCCATAAATTGTAATTGTTCAGAGTAAAATAGATAGCTAAAAGTAATATCTGTATAGGAAACCAACCAAAAAAAAAAATTAAAGATCAATAAATGAAATAGTTGATGACTAAAATCTTATGATCATAAACACAATAATATCCATACCACTTTACTACAAAAAAAGTCATACTTCAATTCGATGCTTCAATTAGAAAACCACCCAATAATCTTATAAAGGTAAAAAAAATGCAAAAGCCAAAAAGTCAAAAAGTCAAGAAAGCTACCTCAATCTTTGTAAAAGTAAGAAAACCTATTAATAAAGAAGTTTAACATGTGTTACCAAACAAATTTATGAAAGTAAAAAATTACCTGATGCTTTAATTAAAGCAAAAACTACACAACACCTTTTTAAGACAACAAAAAGCTACCTGCAGTGAAATTGCTTAGCACTTTTATAAAGCTGAAAGTAGAAATAAAGAGCCACATAATATCTTCGTAAAGTGAAAGGACATCTGGTATTTGTAAAAGAAAGAAATACTGAAAAAATTCAGTCACTACACTTGCGAATCAAAAAAAAAAAAGACTAATGATTTGACTGAAGAATCAAAAAAAAAAAGACTGATGAATTGATCAAAGCAAGATGAACCACCAAACACCTTAAAGAACTACGTAACGCCTTCAAAAAGCAATAAGACACCTGAAATTGTTGTAAAAACAAGAAGCACTGTTACAGAAATTTAGCGACTACCAACTACAATTCAAAAAAAAAAAAACTAGCATCTTGACAAAAAAAAGCCACCTACTTTTGTAAAAGAATTCATAAAGCAAAAGGACATCTGGTATTTGTAAAGGCAAGAAATACTGAAGAAATTTAGTTACTACACTTGCGAATCAAAAAAAAAGACTAAAGTCTTGATTAAAGCAAGATGAACCACCAAACACCTTGTAAGGAAAGAAAGAACCACGTAACTTCAAAAAGCAAAAACTTTGAAAAGCAATAAGACACCTAGAATTGTTATAAAAACAAGAAGCACTGTTAAAGAAATTCAGCGACTACCAACTACAATTCAAAAAAAAAAGACTAGTGCCTTGACTAAAAAAGCTACCTACCTTTGTAAAAGAAATACTTTGTAAATAAAGAGAGCCATCTGACACTTTGTAAATAGTAAGAGCCACCCGACACCTTTGTAAAAGCGAAAACCACCCAATGCTTTCATAAGCGAAAAAAGGTCAATAGTAATTTCGATATTTATAGAGAATCGAAAAGCATTGCACACATGATTTAAATTGGATGAACCGGTCTGATGTACCGGAGATAAGCATTTATTATCTTG